TAATTTAAATATTATATTCAAAATGCTTTATAAACTTATTTTTAAATATATAAATGTATGTACACACTCATGTATATGCAAACACCTACTATTTTAAGAATATATACATATAGTTTTAAGTCCTTAATTTAAGGGTGTTAATTAAGGATAAGTATAAGGAAAGGTAGATACTACATGCACATATATACGTTTGCAGTGTATTAAGAAGACTCACTTATATACCTATATATGTAATAAGGATAAATCTTATACTATCCTTTTACAGGGTTTACAATATTTGAAAGGGAAAAGTATTAAAGGGAGGATATAATATTATATATATCTTAAGAAAGTGTATAAATAACGTATAATATTTAGGCCCTATTAATACTATGCCTTTTCATATATTATAACACCCCATTACAGTGGCGCATTATACCTTCATGGGGCCAGGAAAATTTGAATAAGAAGGACCACGTACAATACAGTGTAAACTTCACATACATTTTCCTTCGGATAACTTTTTTGGGAATATTTTCTTATAAATGATTTGGGATCCTTTGAAATTCCTCTTTTTCCATAGGATAACGCGCACTGTCCTATTAAAAGATACCATAATATCTGTAATTATCCTTATTATATGTTTGAGTGTGACCCTTAAGAACCTGCACCTTATACATATCCTTAACTGTATTGCATATACATATAAAATATACTATATATATAAATATATGTGTGTGTGTGTGCGTGTGTGTACGTAGTATCTACTTTCCTTACACTTATCCTTAATTAACACCCTTAAATAAACGTACATACATACACTTATTTAAGGATTTAAAAAGTATACTTTCATGTATAAGGTTATACTTTTAAATCACGAATATATCATTCAGAATGTATATATACATACATATAATAAGAAAGGCGTATACAGAAAGCATAAAACATAAAAAAAAGTAAAATTTTATGAAGAGAACGTTATTTTTAATTCGTTTTAGTGTCGAATCTTTGAAGTAATCCTTCTTTTATGGATCGACCTTGACTGTAAATTGACAGGAAGAACTGGTGGAGTTTCTTACTTTACAATAAAAGGTGGTGTAGTGTTACACATCTTGGCTGAATTGGCTCTCCAGAGGCGTGGATCTTAGTGAACGCCTCTCTGCAACCTAGTTGGCCATTTCCGTGTATAGTACAACCTTTGTACAGTTGCCGAAATAACATATATACACCCTGACTTCATAAATAGGAAGCAATGGAGAAATATTTGCTAACTTTTTTATTTATTTATAAATATATGTATACATACTTTACGAATTCATACCTTATGAAGATGGTGAAATTTGTCCCAAATCTAATTTAACCTTGTTTAAATAGATGTGTAAATATTCTAAGTATGTGCTTTTAAAACGTAGTTCCGGCTTTAAGAATGCGTTTATATATATATATATATACTAATGTTATTTGTAGCCTGATAGCATACGGCATTGGTTGGCTTTAATATTACAAAGTATTGGGCTTAGTAGAGTTGTTTGTTATTTGTAAATTGTAATTCCCTTATAGCAACATAAAAGTTACTCACATTAATTTATTTACTTTTGTAATTGTATTATATATTTAAAATGTAAAATATTTTTGTATTTTTTATTGTAATTTGGTAATAATTATAGCTCTGACTGAATGCAATAGAAGGTTCAAAAAGTAAATTTGCATGATATTTTAGCATTGTAGTATCTTGATATTTGTAAGCTGAATGGTAGGTTGTCAGTTTACTATTCTGGAAGGTATGAGAATGAATTGACATACAGGTCAAAAAACCCTAGAAATTTTTTGGGGTAGTCCATCCTGGATAATCTATCCCACAATACCCAGCCACCCTATTATAGACATAGCTGAACCCACAATGGGCTTAATTAAAAGATCTTTTTAGTGCCAATAAAAAAAAAGTTAAGCTGGGCTTACAAAAAATATTTTTGTTGTTATAACTTTATACAGGGAT